CGGTGCAATGATGGGGTGCACTACGGTCGTGCTCCTGCAAAATTTAAGTGGAGGGACGGCCAGATTGGGCACCAGTATTTTGTTGACCTCATGCTTGGTCACGTGCTTCTCAATGCTCTGTGTATTAGATGATTTGATCGAGCAACATCATGCTAACACGCAGAGTTGGTATGTAACGACATTTGTTTGGTGTACTGAGAAATTTCGGGGTAAACTTTTGGTCTAGGCCGGTAAATTTCAGCATATATGATTAGATCTTGACTTGAACAAAAGATTGACGCACTCAGCGAAAACAAGAGATGATATTTTGAGGGACAGCTATAGAGGGTGGGGTCTGAATATATGTCATACATATTTATTTTTGTTTCATAGTATTTAATTGATCGCTCTTTACAATTCTTTTGGCTTTCTGCCAGCTTGTGGATTGGACATTACAGCACTATATTGTGACAACCTATCACCTATGTGGGGAATTTCTGATTTCGATAGATTCTACAATTATTATTATTATTATTTTTTTTTTTGGTTCTTGTCGTAAAGTCATTGCCGTATTTATTCATGGACTAAATAAAGAGTAGTGCATTTTTCCCGTGTCGCCTACTAGATGGCCTTTTATAATGGTTTGGTGTGTCCTTTTCTACTTTTGCCTGTCTAAATTTTTTTTTTATTAGTCTTTGCGCGTTTGTATGGAATGAAACAGGTGTAAAAGCGGATGCGGTAGTGGGTTGGTATCAAAATGTGCAGATTGTCCGTGTTTCCATTGAGTTTAGGAGTGGACAAAAGTGATCGAACTGGAATTGGACAGAACTCGGTTGTTTTTATGTTTAAACGGTTCTGGTACGAGAATCAAGAACTGGATGGTTGAATTTGGTTATGTTGGTGTTTATTTGAAAACTCATGTCGGATCACTCGATGTATCATTTTGACTTTGTGAGCACGGAAGGTTGGCCTAATATTTATCAATAAAGGTCAATATATGGGAAACTTCATCATAATGTGATTGAAAAATTGTTCCTCAATAGAAGTGTTGCACTTGTGAGCGAATCATAGGAGAGTCATGATGGCCTAAGGGACGTGCCCATGCCTAGGTATCACGATGGCTCGACCGAACTCTCCATTCAATTGAATCCCTTCAAGGAAGGCGGTGGAACGCAAATCAAGGTAAAAAAACTATAGCTTAACATAATTGGGCGACAAGCTTGAGTCCCATAACCTATATAAAAGCATTGTGGTCTAACAAAAAAGGGCAAATTGAACGTTCTCCTTGTAACACCAATACACGAATTTCAACAATTTTACTTTCTTACCTTATTAAAATTTTCAGCAATTCCACTTAAATTCTTATAAATTGATAAAATTATAACGCCAATTTTTGTCATTAACATGTTTTAAGTTCTAATATACAGTGCAGTGGATGGCTGTATGACCCGTGTCAATCACGGGTGACTTGTTAGGAAATAAAAAGAGGAAAAGTAAAATTCCTTTCATTTTAAAATGCATTTCCGATAATGGCAGGTTGAAATATCAGCAATATTGAATGGACAAAAATTATGAATTTATTTGCTGCAATATTTAAGTCAGCCACTTGTTATTTTTCGTGGCACTTTGGTCCTTACAAACGGAATTGTTCAAAATGTCATCAGGTAGTCACACATGTCACAAGCTTTTTATTTGTTGGATTGCACGAGTAAATTTTACACTTTTTAAGGGCTCTTTACAAATGCCTTTTCAATTATGGTAAGAAATGAGATGTTAAATGGATCAAATCATGAAACTTTCTCACCATCGGCTCGACTTGGTCAACCACACAAACTTTGTCATAGATGGGGCTAGACGTGAATGGGGCTTATTTTCAAACAAAAAATTGCACTTTTACTCCTCGAAATATAATGAAAATTACACATGCCTTTGCGCCGAACACCCTTTTGCTTTATTAGGATAGGTCTTGGTTGGAGGAATGCTCTCCATTGTTTTGTTTTGGTCGAAGTAATTAAATAAAGATACTTTTGGTTTTTAAAAAAAAAAAACAAATATTACAATGACAAAAAGAGTTGTGACCCACACTGTTTGACTACCAAATCAATTGCTTGGGATTTTCTTTATAAATCAGCGTGATTGATGCTTTCATGTAACTCCCAAATTTCAACTGTTTTCTATTTTGTACACGGTCGATTTTCAAAGAAAAGAGAAATAAAAGAACAAAAAAATCCCTCGATCACAAATAAATTCGTATTTTTAAATCTCCGATAACAATTGAATAATGTTTTAAAATAATGTATGGTTAAAAAGTATGAATAATATTTTGAATTTACGTATATGATATTAATTATATGGAATTTACGTAAAAGAAAGAGGGGGAATGTCAGAAATTAAAGCTTAAATGGTACACATTTTTTGCGACATGTCAATCATTTTTTTCCCCCCTTTTTCTCAGATCTATTGCCTGCCTTCAACAATACTCAAAACACACTGTAATATACAACTTTACCGAAGAATCGAACGCCACTGAACATGGGCATATCATTTGGCACCAATAGAAGAAGAAACACCATAAAAGAAAGAGGGGGAATGTCAGAAATTAAAGCTTAAATGGTACACATTTTTTGCGACATGTCAATCATTTTTTTCCCCCCTTTTTCTCAGATCTATTGCCTGCCTTCAACAATACTCAAAACACACTGTAATATACAACTTTACCGAAGAATCGAACGCCACTGAACATGGGCATATCATTTGGCACCAATAGAAGAAGAAACACCACCCCCGCCACATACTACCACCACCACCCTCCTCCTCCTGAATACTACGCTCCTTATCCTGCGCACCCTCCACTGCCTCCACATGCTTTCCCTGCAGCACCACCGCCTCTATACTGCCCACATTACCAATCCTACAATGGGTGCAACTACACAAGTAGTTTTGTAGGTGGGACGCCCAGTTTTGGTCCTTTTCATAACGGGTTGCCAGCGTCATCTCAAGTGGTGGCGCCGCCACCACCACCGCCACCGTACGTTGAGGACCAACATGCTAAAAAGGTCAGAAGCGATGTCAATGTGCATAAGGATACTTTGAGGCTTGAAGTTGATGAGATGAACCCTGACTATCACTTGGTTTCTTTTCTTTTTGATGCTATGTTTGATGGAAGGTAAATTTTCTTACTTTATTTACACAATCTATTTTTCTAAAGCATCTTATTGTCTTTATATACGTATTCTTGCTAAATCATTTCTTTCCTATCTGTTATTTCTAATGTGAGAATTTGGAAAGTTTTGTAATGTTTCTTGATTTGATGAATTTTAGAGTAGGGATAACGTTCTTTATCAAAGAGAAATGTGTAAATTGACAGTGACAGAGAGATCTGTTTGGCTAAGGATTTACGAAGAGAGTGTCCTTAGGATCCTTCTAGTCTCATATCATTGGATTCTCAAAAAAATCTGAGGAATTGAAATATGCAGGAGTTTCGACTTTGCTTTTAAGATATTTAGAATTACATTTTCGGATATAAGATATACATTTTAAGATTTCTCGTTCTGAGGAACATGTTGAGATAGTATCAACTTCCATATGTTATAGTTTGTAAGAAGTTATGAAGTTATGTGCTTCTTGCTTGTGTTTTCCTTGAAAAAGATGGACCATCAAGGTAATTCCGATTCAAGTTTTTATTTTTTCGATTAATTAATTAATTAAGACTCTGCAGGAAGTGAAATGATATAAAATTCTGAACCACTTCTACTTTAAAGGTACGCCGATTAAGCATCAGCACACATTTCATTTCCAATTTGACCAGCTGAAACTTAATTTACGTACACACTGTGTATTCTTCACTCTTACTAATGCTTTGGTCCTTTTTGAAATAACATTTTGGTGGCACTACATTTAGTCTTTAGATTAAAAGCTAAATTAATTGTATCCAATAATATACTTCATAATGACATGAAAGTTTGTTAGGATAAGTGCGTAATATTTTTCTCCATGATTTTTATAAGGGTGATGACAAATTGGACCACATTCTGAAGTTGAAGACTTCTTGTTTTGATTTGATTTGATTTATTGCCTTTCCTATCACTTTATGTTAGATAGATTTTATGTGGATTATTTTCTTTAATTATAAGACCTTTTCAAGAACAAGCAGGAGTAGTGTTCTCATCGTAGTGCAGACTATTGCATTGTTATTGATTTCCTTTTCGAAATTATCTCTTTCTATGTTACTTCATTGTATTGTTCTGTTCTTCTTTCTCATCTTCTCTGTTTCTATATACTGTCCCACGTTATAGGTCTAAAAGAAAGATCCTCCTCTACTGAACACCTCTATTGATGTTATCTTAAATACAAATATTTTTCCCCAATATGGAAGTTTTTGCATGGTCTTGATTCTATTGAATCAATAAAATAATGTTGCATTGACATATATAAATGTGGCAAGGATTACGAATAACCCCCCCCACCCCCCGCCCGCCTCCAGGGTTTGGGTGATTTTGATGTTTCTTTAGTTTGTCTCTATGTTGTCCTTCATAGAATACAATTTTTTTAAAATGCATCGTTCTTCTATCTGATATGGAATGCACTAGGAGCATGATAGTGACCATCTACCTCGTGATTTCTTAACTTTTCATTTTCCCCAAGTACTGTACAAAAAGTTAATGTCCCCAGTTACACTTGTGGAAGCCATGATGATTAAGTGCACCATATGTTTTTTGAAATGTTTCTTCCCTCTAGACGCATTAAGCTATAAACATCTCATACTAAGTCAAGATTATGTGATTAGTATCCACTATCCAGTACTCTCTGTTTAACCAATACCCAAAACTATATCCTTGTATGCTCTTTTTCTCTCTTTGTATAATTGATTTAGATAGAGATGAGAGTCCATTTGAATGCTTCATATGCCACTGCACGCTAGTTTACCATATGAATATTGAACTTGTCAGAAACGACCAAGTTCTACTTATTGACCTTGGAAATTTGTTGGAGTCATAACTTAATGGAGTACAATGCTTTATTTTGAGATCAAGTCCATATATCACTCAATTGCTTTTCAAACAAAGCTAGAATAGGATGTAATGATATCCCTCGCCCTGTTTTCCTTGTTTTGACCCTTTGTGGCCTAATTCTGGTCAGTTGACAGCACTAAAGAGGTAGCTATGATGTTAATGAGACATTTTGGTTGTGCCTACTGGCTTGGCAACTTTTTAAAACCTAAATCATGGGCCTAATATGCCTAATCCTAAAATTGTCAAATAGGAGTAAACAAAATTTTATATGTTTCTCCACTTATTTACATGCCCATCAATGTACATTAGCTTGTCAAAATTCAATGTATCTGCCTATTCAGAAATTTGATGAATCCCTTATTTAAAAGGTTTACTAGCACCCATTACTAGTACTAGACTTCATGTAACATGCTTCTTGGTCATGCTTACATGGAAAATGAAATTTATTTTCATAGTTTCTCTGATAGGATACTTAGGTTGCAAAGATGAAAAATGAAACTAATACACCTTTAATCCACTTGGTTATTCGTCAAGGTGTATGTGTCAGATAACTTTTGGACAGGGATGTAGGTGTGTCTCTTATAATTTGCACTGAGCACATAACATACATTTAAATATGTTTTTCATATTTTGAAAAATAAGTTCAGTTCATATCTTAATGTTGTGTACTCAGTAATTTAAGGGACACCAGATTCATCATACAGCGTGAAGTAAAAAACTGAAATTACAAAAACTTCACTAGGTGATTTATCCTTTTAATTACTGAGATGATACCTTTGGTTAGATGGGTGACTGTACATGTCATGCCAAATTCGTGCAATGTCACTTGTTTCCAAGCTTAGTGATGTAGCATAGGTAGAGAACAGGCAGCAACCATAGGAAGAAGGAAGAAGAAGTGAAGAAGGAGAAGAGCCGAGAAGAGAAGAAGAGAATTAGGGGAGGGGAAAGAAGATTTGTGCATCCAACATCATTTCATCAATTCACCGGCTGTTTCAACTACAATTGAAAATCATACAAATAGTAAAACATAAACCTACTAGTAATGGGCTTGGGCCAATCCAATAATACAAGTCCAATTACATAAACATAAGTAATAATCCAAAACATAGATAAGAGTCCAATTATAAAATAATATAAATGGATGTCCTCATCAATTCTCTCGGGATGGGAGAAAACTCGACCCTGTCGAGTGGGTAAATCAACTTTTTTTTTTGGTCACAATTTTATTTATTTATTATTATTTTTTTTAACTAAGGAAGAAACTGGGAAAAGAAGAAATTGCTACCGCAACAAATTTTTTCTCTTGTGTTGTTCTAGGATTTTGGGGAAATTGGTCACGATTCGCAATTATGGACATGGCGGATGCGTGATTTCATGAAGATGGCTGGAAAAATTTCTGGAAAATAATTGACATATTTCTCAAGTTTTGACTTTGATACCAAATTTGATGTAGCATAGGTAAAGAACAGGCAACAACCATAGGAATAAGGAAGAAGAAGAGTTGAGAAGAAGAAGTGAAGAAGGAGAAGAACGGAGAAGAGAAGAAGAAAATTAGGGGAGGGGGAAGAAGATTTGTGCATCCAATATCATTTCATCAATTCATCGGCCGCTTCAATTACAATTGAAAACCATATAAAACGATAATAAGAAAATAAAAAACCCATATAAATAGTAAAACATAAACCTAATGATGGGCTTGGGCCAACCCAATAATACAAGCCCAATTACATAAACATAAATAATAGTCCAAAACATTGATAAGAATCCAAATAGAAAATAATATAAATGGATGTCCTCATCACTTAGTCTTTCAACTGTAGGCGGAAAAATGATTTATAATGGTGATTAGTTCATTTTTATGAGGATTGAGATGTGCTTGCAAATTGCAATATGATTTAAATTCGAAGTATTATGTATGATTCAAAAGCTTCAAAGGGGTATTGCTTTGGGATTTCAGATTAGCAGCATTATGGTGTGTGTGCAGTAAAGAATAATCTTTTCATTTTTCTGTTTATTGTGCCGCATTTCAATGCTACATTGTGTTGTATGGTGTTTGTTAGAAGGACGGATATTCTAGGTTGCGAAGAAAGCATTTTCCTCCTGTATATCTGGATTATCTTAATATTTTTCTGAAAACTGTGAAGAGTGTCATCGTCCTTTCCATAGATAAAATGCCCTGCCTAGTTGTAATGACACGTATTGGCTTGTCTACCAAAAGACAGAAGTGAAAGAAATTAATCTATCCATATTCATTTTATATGATATGGATAAATAGTATTGTATTTATTTCTGAACCATTAAACAGGATCTAACGCACTCTTGGAACTTGTAATTGTGAATGTATTTCCTTTATTGGATAACGACTTTTACTTATAAGACATGAAAGAGATATATAACTTAAATGACTCAATGTCATAAACATGAAAAATCAGATATCATTATTTAAATATAATATTAGTATTCAATCAAAACTTGAATTTGACACTGTTATGAATCCATGAAAAATTTAATAATCACTGAAAAAATTCTCATTTTTGTACATGTTTTGATCCTTCTTTTCCTGTATCCTCTGATTAACAGCATCACTATTTGGTACTTCGCCAAGGAAGGGCCGAACTGCAGATTGGTTTCATCATTTCCTGAAGTATATGTGCCTGTAAAAATTCCTTTTCAGAAAGGACTACGCCAGAAATTTAGTCAGCCTTCTGGGAGGGGCATTGACCTGGGTTTCTTTGTCTCTGATGATCTTTCAAATCCATCTCCAAAAGAGGACGTATATCCTCTTGTAATAACTGCAGAAACTTGTCCGCCTTCTTACAGTGATGATTACAGTAATGATCGTCCCCAATATCAATTCCCTCATATGCAGATAACCCAGGCTGTCCTGGAGAAAAACAATGAAGGATCTTTCACTGTTAAAACAATTAAGCAGATATTGTGGATTGATGGTGTTCGTTATGAGCTGCGTGAGTTATATGGAATAGGGAACCTTTCTCATGGTAATAATGACAATGACTCGGGAAGAAACTGTGTAATTTGCATGACTGAACCAAAGGATACCGCTATCTTACCATGCCGACATATGGTGAGAAAACTCTCTTAAAGCTTCAGTACAAGTTTGCATTAATGGACTATCCACCTGTTAAGTGGGATAAAATGGGTGCTACATGCCATATGATGCATTTCAAACATTTAATGAAGGTTTCTTCAAATGTTCAAGCTCACTAGTAACTGTAGCTTTTCTTAACTTTTTCAAACTATGTCCATATGCGACTGACAACTATGAGTTTTATGTTGGTAACCTCTTGTTCGATCAACAAATGTGATTCTAATACCTGGGCCATTAAGTGGGGAACTGTTTTGTCCTCCGCTGCTTAAACGTTTTGAAAAATAAAATACTTGATTCTTCCAAACGATTTCCATTTCCCAGCATGCACACGCATGATGCGCGCGCACACACAAATGCTCTCAAACTAAGAAAGTAAAATGCTATCTATACCAGAGCTTTATATGAAGACCGTCTTAGCTTGGTAGCTTTCTCATTAGAACTTTGGATATGAAGTCTCGCATTTTTCCTTAAAAGATGTTGAGGATGTAAGAGAGTTTGTTTGTTCTTCTACTTCTTAGGGCATTCTTTCTTTTTTAGTTTCTTTCCCATGGATGTAGACTTTATCCATTGCTTTTACTCTTGCTTTGCATGGTTGTGACAATCAACTGTTCATTCTCTATATTATTTATTTTTAACCCTCATTCACTCTCTTTTGACTTAAATATGTTGCATTTCAGTGTTTGTGCAGCGACTGTGCAAAAACATTAAGACTCCAGTCTAATAGATGCCCAATCTGCCGAGAACTTATTGAAGAGCTCCTAGAGATCAAGATTAATAATATCAATCAGTGAGATATCCTGTCTTTCATAAACCGTACGAGTATTCTTGCCTTCCTTTAAGTTTCATGCAGTAGTCAACAAATGTACTTCATTCATCTTTTCTTGTTTTTAGTAGCATGTTATAATATTTGGACCAGTGGCCTGAATCTTGTGTATGGGAACAGGTATATAATCATTATATAAATTCAAAATATCTTGTTTGCTCCTCCAGAACCTTTTTTTTTTAAAACTTCTTATGATCTGGAAGCATTTTTTAAAAGAGTAAGGAAACAATGAGAGATGAGAATGGCTTCAACTGGAGGTTTCAAAACATTATTGGCCACCAATAAGGACAGAAGAGTGGCTTGAACTAGTAAGTGTCAAAAGGTGCCAGGCCGCTCAAGGCTGGGCACCCTGGCATGTAAAAGCTTAGTCTAGGCGTGGCCTGCCCTGGCCCAGCTAGAGAGGCATGACCCATACATTTCAGTCCAGGAATTTTAAAACATGCCAGGCTATAAAATTGGTCGGTGCCAATCTAGGGGGCCCTACATAGCCTCCACAAAATCTGGCCCTGCTGCCTGGCAAGGTCCGATAGACACCATTAGGTTGAATGCATTTCATTATATTACTCATCTGCCTGGCAAGGCCCAATAGACACCGTTACGTTGAATGCATTCCATTATATTACTCATCAATGTATATGAATATATTTATTTCATTTATTTGGGAGGAATACGACACAATAATTATGGAGAAATTATATGCACAAGACATGCAATTAAACAATTTCTCTGTGATTGACCTTGATCGTAGGAGAATGTCCCTTAATACATAAATTATACTTGATCATGGTGGTGTATCCTTTAAAAATGTTAAATTCCCTTGATCATAGGAGAACCTCTCTTGATTTGGTGCGCTCAATTATATGGGAATATATCTTAATCATGTAAGAAATGCACATTGATAATTGGCTTCTTGAGTGGATCATTGAGTTTATCGCTGCCATTAACAAAGGATACAATTGATATCTGGCTGAAATTAAATTTAAATTACATCAAACATATATATACAAGTTTAATCCTTCTGTAGAAAGGAAATTATATCTCCTATTACCATATATGTAGCTCACTGTGAGTAACTGTCTATGACAAAGTTGAAATCAATAACAATATGTTTCACCAATGAGTAGAACTCTGGATTAGCATTCAAATGCATCACAGTAAACCATGGGTATGTGAGGGAAGGAAACTCCAATCTATTGAAGAGGTTGCTTCCAGTTGAGTTCAACAATGGTAGATGTAATAGAAAATTATTCAACTTTGATAGAATATTGGGCCATACATTGTTTCTTCTTGGAACTCCAAGTAATTGGGTTTTGGGTTATGTCCAAAGAGAATGTCATAAGATGTTGACGATCTATTATATGTGGAGATCTAAAGGGGAATGTTTTTGAAGGATCAGTGTCTGCAACATTGTAGCTTTCAAGAACCTTAAAAGTTTCACTGGGTAGCATTCTGTTGAGTGGTGGTTAACAATCTGTTTGAACTTCCTTGGCCCCTATCATAGAGGTTTTATCAAGCTAAACGAGAGTACAGTTATTCTCAGATTTAAAAAAATGTTAATTTGAGTGGAAAAAGAAAAACTCAATTTCCAGAATAACTATTTGGTGGTAGGCTTGACAAATATAAGTATCAGTTTAAGCAAGGCAGGATTATTGATGGAACGGTTGTTGTGGAAAGCCCATTTGTACTTGAAAGAGATGATGGCACAATTGCCAATGTTCAAATGTGATTAGGAACATTAATTTCTTCTACCATAGGATTTCACTTCCCATAGCTTTTAAGCGTTAGGGACATTCTTTCAAGAAATTCACCAGAGGTATGTGCTTCGGCATAAAAAGCAAATGGTTTATTTGACTTGAAATATTGTGTTGAGAGCGACTAAATAACCAATAAGTCTTTGAAGGCAAAAGGGAATTGTACGAATGAGACGATCATCGAGGATCATGTTATAAAGATTCTAACGCGCATGGGAAACTATACGTAAAAGGAAAAGTCGAGTTGATGAGTTGGCTGACACATGCATGGTTGGCACGGATGGCTACATTTAGTAGTATTAATCGATGTGAGAGAGGGTGACGTGTGAAATCTGGAAGCGACGCAAGAACGAAAAGTGAAGAAACTAATTGACATATGACTGGAAAGAACCATTTTTTTTTTTTTTAAATAGGTCTGAGTATTGACCCTGAAATGCAACGTTTCTAGGATCAGAGGGTTCAATAAGGGTCGAACTAGTGGTAACAAATAATTAATTTTATATAAATATTAAATTTTACTCTAGGAGTCCTCCATTTTCGACAAGATTTGAAAGAACTTGGTAACATTTTTTGTGTGAGAGAATTATGAGAGGAATTTGGATCAATAAATAAAGGATGTGAATCAATCGTAGTAAATGTCTTAAGAAGAATAGAAACGCGATTGGTAGTGGGATCAAGGCAATGATGCATGTAGGGTGATGCATGGTCCTTTCGAACATGCTGGTTTAGGAAGTCTTTTGGAGTGCAAGTTGACTACTTTGCTGAGACAAAATTATCTATAACAAGGAGTCATGTCAGCAAAAGACTTCTTGCTTGGCAAAGTCTTGGACTATCAAAGTTTGTCATTAATTTCATCAAAACAATAGCGGTTGTTCCCTGCATGAAGAGCAGCAAAAATCTCTCTGAGATCGGGATTTAGTCCATGAAGAATGTGAAAAACAAGATAATCATCACCCATAGGAGCATCAACAAGAGGAAACACACACAGGGCCAATCTAAGCACACAAATTAGACAATCTAAATATTGAAATCTTGAACTGAGATCAGTAGCCACAAGGACTGGACCATGAAACCTATTTTTCAGGATTGCATAATGTTGGTGCCTTTTCGTGAATGGTAGACCACTTGTGAAAATCTGTAAGGATCAAATTTTAGCTGTCCATTTCTCGTCTGTTTTTTAGTCACACTGACAGCCAAAAAGGGAGGCTTTTTGGCTGGGAGAAAATGTTTGCTATAGAAGTTAGCAGTAACAGATACAATTTAGCATCGACTTGGGGATTTGGAGTGGGGTTCCTTCTGTACAGTAGATACAAATTTGTGCAGCAAAATTATTAACATTTGTATCCTTCTTAACTTGTATCCATGCATGTTTTCCATAGGGGACCGTCATTAATGTTTTGGCTGGCTTTTCGCGTGCACAACTACTGTCCGCACCAAATAATTTCACAATTATTCGTTTGATAATTATCTGACATTATTGAAATTATCGATATCTTCTCAATCATACGTCCCTTTTTGCTCCTCATAAACACAGAAACAATAAAAAGCACACAGAACTACATTATATAATGATGTAGTCTTCACCTAAAAATGTTGTGACCTACATCATCCGTTAACATTATTTGCTCAAGTTCAAGGAAAATATTTTGGAGCCAGTATTACGTCAACTGGTTTTTGCTTCATTTTTTGATACTGTCCAGCGCTATCCTAATGTACAAATTTCACATGATAGGTAAACTGTTAGGTGTGTGGTGAAAAACGTCACTCTCAAAGGGACAGGGCTCTCATGGTTGAAAGGGCAATTATAATTCATACTTACAGATTCCTCTCTGCTGCCTGCACAGATACCCTACCTCTATTTTGACGTTTCAGTATGGAAACAAATCATCTACATATTTAGTGCCATTAAGTTTGTACAACCAAAACTTCCAAAAATCTCTTGTGAAAAGGGCCAATTATAATTGGTTTGATGAGTTGTAAAATTCTCTGTACAACTATTTAAATAGAGAATAATTTATAGGGTTTTGGTCAGTATATTCACAGATATTTTCAGTGAAATGTTACTGCCGTATGTTATTTATGCCAAATATTGGCACTCATGAAAAATAAGAAGAAGTTCGATAATTTGAGAATTCTACCTTTGAGTTAGCAGTATATTTCGCGATAATTAAGCACACTAATCGAGGTCTCTTGTTCGGTTAAAACATCATATTAGCTCACTTTAACGACTCATTGTGCTTGGGAAAGGGTGGAAACTAGATTTGCTGGGATTACTGTCTTTTTTAATTTCTCAATAATCTTGTTTAATCACGCTCTTGTGCATCTTAGAGAACTTTCAAATAAGTACGAAGATAAAAATACACAAGTTAGAATAATGTATAATTCATTAAGAATCTCATAGTATGGTCGTTCAGTGAGTGACAGCACTTTTCTTAGTACTAATTTGCCTTTGCAGTAGATATCCAGGAAACATTGGAATCTAGGAGTACAATAAAATTGAAAGGTCATGTAGGTATTGGTGCATAGCAAATAATGCAAACAGTAAGGGTTATAGATATTTTGTGATGCATTCAGTCTTCTCAACATAAATGTCAATGGCACTGCACAATGACGTGCCTATTATATTGTTCTGTTTTATGGAGTAACAAGTATTACACGATACACCAAATGTTAAATGGCATCTCGACCTAGTTAATACAAGATTTTTAGGGAAAAGATTGAAATTATTGAATAAATGCCTAATTTAGTGACTGACGTTCAAAAGCATAATTCTTTATTGTAGCAAGAATGCCATGTAGTTTGGGTCCTTTCTATTTGGCATTCACATTTTCTTTTCTTTTTTTTTACGGTAAAGAGGCCCCTCAACCCTCAAAAGGAAGATGCATAAAACAGAAGAAAGGACAAAGGCACTTGGGATTTCATCATGGTTTAGGCTTTTAAGAACGACAACACTTATTGCCTTACAAAAGAAGGGTACGAACTTGGAGAAAATATCACTA